GCTCAGACTGGTCTGTGGATGATCAGGCAGTCTGGTGGCTGTGGGCTCGCAGACCCCCGGGAGGGACAACCAGCTTCTAAGCCCACCCCCTGGTTCTTCCCACCTGACAAGTGCACAACAGAAGAGTCTAGGGAAGGAGTGCTGAGCGGGTGGCTGACAGGCAGCCTGATGGACGAGGCCCACGAGCCAGGCGCACACCCTGAGGCAGCGCGTCAGGCAGCATTGCCACGGTGGAACAGGCCACTGCTGTTGCTTCCTGAGCTGCCCTGGAGACTGGAAAAGGCAGCTCATGCCTTTGGCCAGGTGCCTGACAGCCTTTTAGGGCAGTTCAGTGTTGGCAGGGCCCAGTTCCCCTCCCAGGGAGTGAAGACAAGGGGCTCCAGGGGGGCTGTTCTGGCCTATGTCACCACCCGACATCCCAGCGGCCCACGTGGTTGGTGCCTTTGCCTTCCTGGGTGCCGCTTGCACAGGCAGGGAAGCAGAGCGCTGGCATTCCACTTCTGACCCTGCTGCGGGTTTGGAAAAGTCATTTCTGAATGTCTCAGTGCCTTCGGCTCCTCTGAGTGCTAATCCAGTGTCCTGGTCTTGTGGAGGTCCGTGGCGGGTGGGGGGGACAAGGCAGGGGCAGAGGCTGGCCTGGCCTGGCCTGGCCCGGCTGGTGCACGCCAGGGCTGGAGCCTGTTGCCTTATATGACAGTGACTGGGATGGCCCCGTGGCTTCTGCCTCCTCCTCTGAACCTGGTTGGAGTTCCAGGGAGGCCCTGTCAAGTGGGGTCAGGCCTCTTCTGTGGGAGGGAGAGCCCACAGCCAGCGCCTCTGCTTGCGCCCTGCACAGTTTGGGTGGTGTGGGGGTGCGGCTTTTCTTTTTCTCCTCTGTGGAAGAAATTCTCCGTCTGCAAAATAAAAAAGTGGTCTTGCCCCCTCCTCCTGCTGTGTCCCAGCGGGAACTGAATGCGGGACTGGGTTTAAAAGGCGGGGAGGGCCATCAGGATGAAAGGCAGCGGGCAGGCAGGGACAGCGAGGGGACTTGCCACTCAGATGTGGGTTTATTTTCATCCATTTACCCTTTTGGTGCTTTTTCTGGTGCTTTTCTTCATTTCTGGATAACAGCCCCATCCTGACCCACCCTGCCCGCCTCTTCCCTTCTGGAACACCCCTAGCACTGCTTTGCCGGCCCGCCTGCTCCCCTCACCCCCAGACGGGGCCAGCCCTCCTCGCCCGCTGCGAGTAAATGAGTAAACGAGTAAACGAGCTCCCGCGCAGGCCTTGGGTTTTGGATTAATGAAGCCCAGATGCAGACTTCTGACTGGCTTTGAGTTCGCTGTGGAGCAGCTCAGAGGGGCCGCTGACCTCCCACTGTGTTCCCAGCCCAGCTGCTGCCGGGGCTCCTGAACAGCTGGAAAGCCGGCCCTGTCTGACACGGAGGCGAAGCCTGTGGGTGGGGGAGAAACTGAAGCTTGGGGCTCTGGGTGTGGGGCCAGGGGGTGGCCTGCACCCACGGGGGTCTGTTGCAGGGGCCGTAGAGCGGGAATGAGGGGCTTCTGTTCGTTATCCTGTGGCTCAGTCCGGGTGGGCGCTGCCTTTCCTCAGTGCTCTGGCGTGGGGGAAGTAGGGAGTGTTGAGTGAGTACACAGGGGCGCTGTGGTGTTGGGCAAGTACACAGGGGTGCTGCGGGGTTGGGCGAGTACACGGGGGTGCTGCGGGGTTAGGCGAGTGCACAGTAGCAGGAGAATCACTTGAACCTAGGAGGAGGAGGTTGCAGTGAGCCGAGATCACACCATTGCATGTCAGCCTGGGCAACAAGAGTGAAACTCCATCTCAAAAAAAGAGATATATATATATGTACATAGATAATACTATATATTACATTATATATTATATATATTATACTATATATAAAAAATATATATATATATAGTGTATGTATATTTTGTATTTTTAGTAGAGACGAGATTTCTCCATGTTGGTCAGGCTGGTCTTGAACTCCCAACCTCAGCTGATCCACCCGCCTCGGCCTCCCAGAGTGCTGGGATTACAGACATGAGCCACCGCACCCGGCTTAACCGGGCATTTTATATTTTAATTTGCTAAATCTAGCAGTCCTATCTCCCTTCCAGCTGAATCGTTTTTTTTCTTTTTCTTTTTTTTTGAGACAGAGTCTCACTCTGCCGCCCAGGCTGGAGTGCAGCGATGTGATCTTGGCTCACTGCAACCTCCGCCTCCCAGGTTCAAGCAGTTCTCCTGCCTCAGCCTCCCGAGTAGCTGGGACTACAGGCGCCCGCCACCATGCCCAGCTAATTTTTGTATTTTTAGTAGAGATGGGGTTTCACCATGTTGGCCAAGCTGGTCTTGAACTCCTGACCTCAAATGATCCACCCGCTTTGGCCTCCCAAAGTGTTGGGATAACAGGCATGAGCCACTGTGCCTGGCCTGAATTTTTTTCTTAATTGTTTTATTGAACTACAATGTACAATCAGAATAGAGCAAAGACAGTTAAGTGTATGGCTCAGTGCATTTTCACAAGTCCGATGTACATGAAACCAGCACCCAGGTCAAGAAATGAAACATGATCGGAACCTGCCCCCCACCCCCAACCCAGGGTTACCAGGGTCCAGCTTCCAACAGCTGAAGTTTGCCATTTGCATTTGTTTTTTTTAAGAGTTGGGGTCACCTGTAATCCCAGCACTTTGGGAGGCTGAGGTGAGTAGATCATGAGGTCAGGAGTTCAAGACCAGCCTGGCCAAGATGGTGAAACCTGTCTCTACTAAAAATACAAAAATTAGCCAGGCGTGATGGCAGGTGCCTGTCATCCCAGCTACTTGGGAGTCTGAGGCAGGAGAATCATTTAAACCCAGGCATAAAAGAGTTGGGGTCTTGCTATGTTGCCCGAGGTAGCCACGAACTCCAAGGCTCAAGCAATCCTCCCACCTCAGCATCCTGAGTAGCAGGGACTGCAGGTGTGGAGTACGATAACTGGCATGCCCATGTTACCATGTTGGCGGGGCACTGTGGCTCATGCCTGTAATTCCAGCACTTTGGGAGGCCAGGGCGACTGGATCACCTGAGGTCAGGAGTTCGAGACCAGCCTGGCTGACATGGCAAAACCCCGTCTCTACTAAAAATACCAAAAAAAAAAAAAAAAAAAGCCAGGCATGGTGGTACGTGCGTGACTGTAGTCCCAGCTACTTGGGAGACTGAGGCAGGAGAATCGCTTGAACCTGGGAGGCAGAGGTTGCAGTGAGCCAAGATCATGCCATTGCACTCCAGCCTGGCAACAGAGCGAGATTCTGTCTCAAAAAACAACAACAAAAAAATGAGACCATGCAGATACATTTTCTGTGTCTGGCTGCTTTCCTCCCACACTGGAGGTCATTCATGTTGTTGGAGGTGGTTGTGGTTCATTCATAATCACAACCCCGCCATAGGACTGAGCCGTATGGATGCAGTCTGATCTGTCTGTCCACTGTGCTGCTGCTGCTGCTGCTACTGCTGCTACTGCTCAAGCCTTCTAGTGCCTCTCCTTTTTTGCACCTTTGTACCTAGGAGTAGGATTGCTGGGCATGGGGTGGGCATCACGTCTTCAGTAGATCTTGCCAGTTTTCGGCAGTGGCGCACCCATCAGTATCCTGCCAGCCGTGTGAGCGCCCATAACGCTGCGCCCCCACCAGCCCCTGGCGTGGCCCCGGTTCGTGTCGGCTCTTCCGGTGTGCGGTGCTGCTGCTGCTGCTGCTTCTGCGTTTTGAAAAATCCAAGAGTCTGCTGCTTTGCTGAGTCCTCTGGCTTCCTTGACTCTTTCCTAAGAAAGTTTAAAAGCGGCCGGGCGCGGTGGCTCAAGCCTGTAATCCCAGCACTTTGGGAGGCCGAAACGGGTGGATCACGAGGTCAGGAGATCGAGACCATCCTGGCTAACATGGTGAAACCCCGTCTCTACTAAAAAAATACAGAAAACTAGCCGGGCGAGGTGGTGGGCGCCTGTAGTCCCAGCTACTCGGGAGGCTGAGGCAGGAGAATGGCGTGAACCCAGGTGGCGGAGCTTGCAGTGAGCTGAGATCTGGCCACTGCACTCCAGCCTGGGCGACAGAGCGAGACTCTGTCTCAAAAAAAAAAAAAAAAAGAAAGTTTAAAAGCGCCCCGGGGTTTTAGACCCTAGATTAGTGCCTCTGTGATCCCAGCCACACCGGAGCTTTGAGGAAACCATTCCTGCCTCAGTTCCCTTTCACCCAGGGAGCCTCTCTGCATGCACGGCTGGGTTGAGAGGTCCAGGGGCCAGGGGTTCCAGGCACAGCTCTGGGCGTTCTCAGGGCTCTGTCTCAGCCTCTTTGCCTCCCTGTGGCTTCCTCTTACTGGTTCTCCCTCCAGGAGGCAGGATGGCCACCAGCGGCCGTTGTGGCCACCCTGCTGGAAAGGCCCACACGCCTGCACTTTGCTGATAGTTCAGTCACAGCCCGAGGCCACCTCTCAGTGACTGGGTCAGGTGCCTGTCCTGGGAGCCTGGCAGGAGATGGATTTCCCCAAGGAAAGCCCAGTGGATACTGGGTGAAAAGAAAACCGGGAAGTTTGGCCTCCGCAGGCCAGGTCAGTCACCCAGCCTCCCCCACCCTGCAGGGTTGGCACCACAAAGGAAAGAAGAGGCAGAGGTGTATTGAAAAGCAGTTCGGCGCCCCTGCCTCTATGGATCCATGGATATGTATCGGCAGAGGGGATGATGAACTAAGAAAAGCCCTGCCTGCTCTGTGGGCCTCTGAAATGACCAGGAACTGGAGTTTTTGTGTGGACTTATTATTTAATTTTCTGATCTCGAGAGTTTCATTCCTGCTGGAATACATAATAATGCTATCAGCCAATGGAGAAAGCCCTTTGGGGTACCCTAGATGGACGGTGGGGACCCCAGATGGAGGGTGGCTCCCGCAAATTCTCCTCTCCATGGGTGTCCTGCCCCCTGCTCGGGCTCCCCGATTTCCAGCACACCCCCTCTCAAGCTGTTGCTTCTTCTCCCCCAGGCGGCTTCGAAGCCAACTCAGCCTTGTGGTCATTGCTCGAATGCTGGGCCAGCAGGAGACACTCCCTCTCTGGCAAGAGAAGACCCAGGTGAGTGTTTGCTTCAGGCCTGGGCAGGAAGGCCACGGCCTGCGGGCTCTGGAGCCTTTCCCCAAAGGCCGGGAACATCAGGGCCGAGACCTAAGCTGGATCTGAACTCTCTACTCATGTTCTTTCATCAAGAATTACCACTTGCGTGCCAGCCATGTGCTAGGCGGTGAGGACAGAGCAGTGAGCTGAGAGCCTGTCTTTTCTTAAAATGGTAGTGAAGGCTGGGTGCGGTGGCTCACGCCTATAATCCCAGCGCTTTGGGGGGCTGAGGCGGGCAGGATCGCCTGAGATCAGGAGTTCGAGACCAGCCTGGCCAATATGGTGAAACCCTTGTCTCTACTAAGAATACAAAAACTAGCTGGGCGTGGTGGCGGGTACCTGTAATCTCAGCTACTCGGGAGGCTGAGGCAGCGAATTCCTTGAACCCGGGAGGCGGAGGTTGCAGTGAGCATTTAATTCAAATAAATGAATTAAATTCATTTATTTAATTTTTTTGTAATCATCTTAACCATTCTTAAGCGTAGTATTTCAGGCATTTCTAAGTGTACAATTCAGGGGCCTTAAGTGCATTCACACGGCTGTGCAGCCGTCACCACCACCCATCCCCAGAACTCTTTCATCTTCCCAGACTGAAACCCTACACTCGTTCAACACAACCCCCCAACAATGTCCCCAGCCTGTTTTTTTGTTGTTATTTTTTATAGTAAAGCATAAAAACAAATAGTATTTGTAAAGATGAAAACAAATACTATTAAATTAAAACTACTCCCTCTGATGTCCCCTCCTAGTCCTCAGTGTTAGGCATTGTTAGGGCAGCAAGGGCATTGAGTTCGGCCTTCTGAGCTGGGCGTGGTGGCTCACGCCTATAATCCCAGCACTTTGGGAGGCCAAGGCCGGTGGATCACTTGAGGTCAGGAGTTCAAGACCAGCCTGGCCAACATGGTGAAACCCTGTCTCTACTAAAAATACAAAAACTTAGCCGGGCATGGTGGTGGGCACCTGTAATCCCAGCTACTCGGGAGGCTGAGGCAGGAGAACTGCTTGAACCTGGGAGGCGGAGGTTGCGGTGAGCCAAGATCACATCGCTGCAGTCCAGCCTGGGCAACAGGGCGAGACTCTGTCTCAAAAAAAAAAAAAAAAAAAGAGTTTGGCCTTCCTGTCCTGTTCCTCTTCTCTCCAAAAAAGCTCTGGCTGCAACCTCCTGACAGCTCAGAGGACATCACGAGGTGATGAAAGGGTCACTGGCAGGCCAAGCATGGATGGAAGGGAGGTTGAGCGTGCCCGCACCTCCCCAGTAATCTTCCTGGAATCCTAGAAGAACAGCTGCTAGGTACAGCTGACCCTTCCAGCTCAGCCACGCTAGGGGTACTCTGGCTAGAGTCTGTGCATCTCTAGCCACTCAGGCAGCATAACGCCTTGCCCAGAGGGCTGAGACAATGTTCCGGCACGTCCCAGGTGCTGTGACTGCAAGGAGGCAGTTCAGAGAAGTGACCGGCGGGGTTGGGTTGTCTGAGCGGCTTCGGCCTGGCTTTTGCCCCGGCTTTTGCCTCAGATGCCCCCTTTGCCTTGAGTGCTTCCCCCAGGCCTTAGTCGGGCTGGAGCTGCTTGTCGTTCCCACTCCAGCTGAAATGTCGTCTCCACAAGGGGCCTTGCTGGCCACCCGATCCAGAGTGCCCCAGCACTGGCTTTCATCTTGTCCTAAGTCACTCCTGGGGGCCACCCCCTGGTTTTTCCTGTTTGCTCAGCATCTGTGTTTTCCACCCCCTACCCCCAAGCAGAACGTAAGCCCCTGAAGAGCAGGGAACACGTAGTTTCTGCCCCCTGCTGCCCCTCGGCACCTGGCAGTGCCTGGCACACCCCGGGAAGGCAGTGCACGCTTCTGGAAGGGACGGGCACCCAGGTGGGTTGTCGGGGTGCATGGGGAGAATGTGCCCCAGGCCGAGACCTCGAGAGGGGCAGTGAGGAGGTGACCGGCACTGAGGTCACTTCACAGGTGGTCTCTGTGAGGAAGGAAGAACAGAGGGACGCAGCGGTGTGGCTGGGAACAACCAGCAGTTAGAGGCAGGGGGAGCCCAAGATGGGGTGCTTGGGAGGACTCTGGGACGCAGACTGAGGGACAGGCCCAGCGCAGAGTGGAGGCCAGAGGGGGCGCAACACAGGTGGCCGGAGAGAGAGAATGAGAGCCAGTTCAAGGCTTGGCATTTTGCTTCGTTTTGTTTTTTGTTGGCCAGCAGCTGTGCACAGAGTGAGGAAAGCTTGGTGGGGCTGCCTTCCTGGTGGAGGTCAGAGTGGCAGCGGGGAAGTGTCATGGAGGAAGGGCTGACGGTCCTTGGGCCCAGGAGTTGGAGGCTACAGTGAGCTATAATCACACCACTGCACTGCAGCCTGGGCAACAGAGCCAGACACCTTTGCTAAAAAAAAAAAAAAAAGTGGGGAATGGGGGCGCAGGAGGCAGTGACTCACGCCTGTAATCTCAGCACTTTGAGAGGCTGAGGTGGGAAGATGACTTGAGCCCAGGAGTTCTTTACAAAAAAGGAAAATAATTAGCTGGACATGGTGGCACGTGCCTCTAGTTCCAGCTACTGGGGGCAGGGATGCTGAGGTGGGAAGATGGCTTGAGCTCTGGAGGTCAAGGCTGCAGTGAGCCATGATGGCTCCAGTGCACTCCAGCCTGAGCGACAAAGCAAGACCCTGTTTTGTTTTGTTTTTTAAAAGAAAAAGATACATGGAGTGGCGCTGCCTCCCCTTGAGAGATCCTGGCCCGGCAGGTCTCGCAGGCTCCGCAGGGGCCAGGGTCTTGCAGCCTGTCAGGGACAAGCCAGGTCCAGGCCAGTTGCTGTGTGCCCACCATGCACCCGTGTGTTCGTTAGACACTAGCTGAGCAACCTGAGTGCCAGGCTCTGTGCCAGGTACTGGCACTGGGGAGACAGCACCAGATGACCTCAGAAGAGAGGGGTGAGCAAGTCGGCCACGGCCGCAGTGACTAACTCTGCCCAGGCACAGTGCGGCGGCTGCTAGAGAAGATGCCCTGAGCCAGGTCTTGGAGGCTGAGTCAGTGCTTGTACTGCAAAAAGGAGAAAGGGGGTGAGATTCATGGCGACCGGAGGGATAGGAAGGACCGGCAGGGGCCTGCCCATGGCCTTCCTGTAGCTCCCTCCCCGTCTCCACTGCAAGCCCAGGGCTGCTCACAGCCTCCTCCCAGATCTTCAGGCTGCCAGGCACTCCCCTTTCCAGTCTGGCCTGTCAGACCTTCCTGAAACACTCCTTCAAAGGGCCACCTTGTCCCCGCAGCCGCCCACTCAGCCCACATGCCCCTTTCCCAGCGTCTCCTCCACGGGGCTTACTAGTGCCGTGTGTTCTCCTTGGGCCTCCTCACAGGCCCTGCCTGCTCTCTGCACACAGCTCTGGCTGTGTCTGGGCCGCCTCTTCCTTTCCACCTGTCACCCCCAACCCGCAATAGTGGCAGCTCCTGTGTGCACAGCTGTGTCCTGGCTGCTGTCCTCAGCACTCGCGCCTCCTAGCAGCCCAAGGCCCTCAGACTTACTGTCATCCACATTTTACAGATAGCGAAACTTTCCAGGGTCACCCAACAGGGAAGTGGCACAGCTGGGACTATTTTATTTTTGAGGCAGTGTCTCACTTTCCCAGGCTGGAGTGCAGTGGTGTGATCACGACTCACTGCAGCCTCAACCTCCCTGGCTCAGTGGTCCTCCCACCTCAGCCTCCCGAGTAGCTGGGACTATGGGTGTGCACCACCACACCTAGTGAATTTTTGTATTTTTTATAGAGGCATGGTTTCGCCATGTTATCCAGGGGGGTCACAAACTCCTGGGCTCAAGCGATCCTCCTGCCTCAGCCTCCCAAAGTGCTGAGATTACAGGCATGAGCCACCGTACCCGGCCTAGAGCTGGGATTAAAGTCCTGCCCTTGACCACTGCAGGGCACTGCCTTAGCCTGTCCAGCTCTCTCCTTGCCTCTGGACATCCTGGACCACACCCGGTACTTCATGGTGAAGTGCCCTGCTGGGTCCTTGGGCTTTAGTCCCAGTTCACAGACAGGAGGACAAGGACCGTCCCTTCTTTCCCTCATCAGTGCACAAGTGCTGGAGAAATCCTATCAATCAATTCACTGTGAAAGGGGGCACAGGGGTTGAGAATTGACTGGTGTAGGAGCAGAGGACCTGGGGCTGGATCTGGGCACAGCAGTTTGCAGGGCACTGCTGGGCAGGAGTTGCCGATGGCCAAGTTTCTGGGCTCTGTATCTCCCGCAAGCTGCAACGGGGGTCCCATGGAGCAGGAGCAGAAGCACACGTTGGAGATCTGAACTTGAAGGACAGGACTTACAGCATTGAGGTCACACAGGCAAGTGGAGGTTCAGTTAGCCAGAGCCTCAAGGCTACAGTGAGGGTTTTGACTTTTACGCAGAAGTGGGGAGCCCCTGCAAGGTTTTGGGCAGAGAAGAAACAAAATCTGATTTATAAAATCTTTAAAAACTACTCTGGCTGCTGTGTTGAGAAGGGACTACTGGGAGTGGAGAGGAAGAAGGTGATTGCAGTAATCCTGGCAAGAGATGGCAGTGGTTTGGCCTGGGGAAATAGCAGTGTGGGCGGTGAGAAGTGGTCGGACTCTAGGTGCATTTCCCAAGTACAGACAGTGGGATGTGCAATGCAAGAGAACAGAGACAAGGACTCCAGGTCTGTGCAACAGGCGGGATGGAGACGCCCTTTGCCTACCCTAGGCAAGACGCAGGTGGAGCAGGTTTGGGGAGGAAATCAGGAGTTCGCTTCTTATCCTGGGGCACTTCTTGCAACACAGTAAACCTCTTGTCAAAGTATGTCTTCCAGTTTGGGGTTTGGAAAACGTGGGCTTCAAGTGACTCAAATCAAGGGGGATAAATGTTTGCATCTACTCAGAAAACATTAGCTGCAGTCTTGACTGTTCATTTATTCATTCGTTCGTTCCTTTGACAAATACTTACTAGACGTGTACCATGTGCCAGGTGTGGTTCTAGGTTCTGGGGACTTTGCAGTGAAAAAACTGCCCTCAGAGAGCTTACATTCCAGGGAGGGAGGGGGAATAGGTGATAAAAAGCAAGTAAATTGCAAAGGGGCCAGGCACTGTGACTCACTCCTGTAATCCCAGCGCTTTGGGAGCCCAAAGTGGGTGGATCACTTGAGGTCAGGAGTTTGAGACCAGCCTGGCCAACATGGTAAAACCCTGTCTCTACTAAAACTACAAAAATTAGCCAGGCGTGGTGGTGGCCACCTGTAATCCCAGCTACTCGAGAGGCTGAGGCAGGAGAATTGCTTGAGCCCGGGAGGTGGAGGTTGCAGAGAGCAGAGATTGCACCATTGCACTCCAGCCTGGGCGACAGAGCAAGACTCTGTCTAGGTAGGTAGGTAGGTAGATAGGTAGGTAGGTAGGTAGATAGGTAGGTAGGTAGGTAGGTAGGTAGGTAGATAGATGATTGATTGATTGATAGATGATGGATGGATGGATGGATAGATAGATAGATGATAGATAGATGATGGATGGATGGATGGATAGATAGATAGATAGATGATGGATGGATGGATGGATGAATGGATGCATGGATAGATGATAGATGATGGATGGATGGATAGATAGATAGGTAGGTAGATAGACAGATAGATGATGGATGGATGGATAGATGATAGATGGATGGATGGATGGATGGATGGATAGATAGATGATAGATGATGGATGGATGGATGGATGGATGGATGGATGGATAGATAGATAGATAGATAGGTAGATAGACAGACAGACAGATAGGCAGACAGACGGGAACCTGGGCAGGTGGGCCTTACTGAGAAGGTGGGTGTGGAACAACAGCTGGGAGGGAGAGGCGGGGGCTGTGTCTGCTCAGAAGGCCCAGGCAGGGCACCAGCTCCAGGGAGCAGCAGGCAGGTCGTTGGGTCTTTGCAGACACTTGAGATCCTGGCTTCCTGTCCTAGGTGAGGAGGAAGCCAGGATTTGCACCCAGGAGCAACATGCTGTGTGGCCAGTTGCCTCTCTGGAAATCAGCTTCCACCACATCTTCCCTGCCTCCGAGAAGGCTGGTGGAGGCCTGTCTTCCTGAGGGATCCTTGCTTCTCGCTCTCAGTGTCTGCCCTAAGCGGCTGAGCGTTTGCAGAGCCAGCTGCCAGCAGTGAGGTTGAGATAGGGAGGCTTCTGATCTGACCCATCCACGTGGGTTCCCGCAAGGCCCGAACAAGCCCTTATCCTGGAGAGGGGTTTGTGTGGGAGAGAGACTGGCTGGAGCATCCAGAGATGGAAACAAAAGGGAATAAACAGTCGGAAGGCACAACGGCGCAGGCAGATCGCAGGGGCAGCAGCTTGCTGCGCTGAGCACAGCCAAGCTGTTTTCATGAGTGAGAGGAAAAACACGAGAGCAAGCACCGCAAGAGTGCCGTCCCTGCGCCCCTGCCCAGCCCCACCCAGGCCTCCCGTAGCAGGGAGGGTCCCGGCCGGGCGAGGCCTGCCCGAAGGCCATGCTGGGGGTGTGGACTGCAGAGCCTGACCCTGTGCTTGCACAGCTGTGAGCCCTGAGTGGGCAGGGCTGTTTTGGAAACTATCTTGACTTGTGAAGCCTGAGTAAGGCGGCACAGCTATGGTTTGGATGAAGCCCCAGATGGTGCCTCTCTTTGCCCAGAACCTTCCTCTCCCCTCCCAAAGGGATCAGACGCCAGGCTGAGAAGCCCTGGCCACCTTCCAGAAGCTAAGGCCCTGAGCCTGACTTCTAGCCCCCAGCCCCCAGCCCAGCTGCTCTTGTGGGCTGTCTCAGCCCATAACCGGCTGATGTGCTGAGCAGGTGGTGGGTGAGTCACCGGAGGAAGCCAGGTGTGCCAGCCAGGCTAGGCTCAAGGGGGGGCTGGGCTGCGGGGCTCAAGCCCCCAGCCTGTGATCACCCTGCTCCTGTGCCATCTAAAGAGATGGTGCGTCTGTGAACCACCTTGGCTCTGCTCCCGCTTACTGCCCGCCCTGCCCCCAGGGCTGTCGTGGCCTCACAGAGGCCAAGGGCTGGGAGCCTGCCTGCCTCTGCTACAACGAGAATTAGCTTCAGGGCAGCTGGGCAGTCCTTGCTGGGGCTGGGCCCAGGCTACCCAAATCAAGTGCATACACGGGGCCAGAAGGAGTGGCTAACTGTAGACACCTGGACTTTCGCAGGTCACGTTCCCTGCAGAGGGATTCAGAGCTTGTGTGTTCAGAGAGGTTGGGCAGTTTATTCAAAAACTAAATGGGGGCTGGGGCGGCTGATAGATTAGGTTAGTCAACCAAATGCAGCGTGTGGGCCTTGTGGTGAATCTCCCTCCAAACAGAACAATGTTGGAGGACATTTTAGAGACAGACAGAACTGAACACAGGTGTTGGATGATGATAAGGAAGTCTCGGCGATTCTGTTAGGAAAGAAGTGGTATTATGATTAGATTGGGGGGAAATCCTTATATTTTCTGTAGAAGTTCTGTATGGGTAAAATGATACAATGTATTTGCTTTAAAATCCCCTGGAAGGAAAACAGCGGGAAGGGGAGTGGAAGGTGGGGCCTGAAGACACAGGGTTAGGCCACAGAGAAGAGTTAAACCAAGAGAGGGATGCAAGGGAAGGTGGGCGAGGATGGGTGTGGGTGAGAGTGGGTGGCAGTCTTATCGGGGGGATGAGTGGGTTGGTGGGGGTGTGTGTGTGGGGGTGTCTGTGTATGTGGGTGAGTGGGTGTGTGTGAGTGGGTGTGGGTGGGGGTCTGTGGATGGGGATGGATGTGGGTGGGTCTGGGGGGGTGAGTGGGTGTGTATGTAGGTCTGTGTATGTGGGTGAGTGGGTATATGTGTGGGTGAGTAGGTAGGTGGATGGAGTGGGGGAGTGTGGAGGTCTCGGGATGAGTGGATATGTGTGGAGGGGTCTGTGTGTGTGGGTGGGTGGGTGAGTGGATGGGTGTGGTTGTGGGGTCTGTTGGGGGGGATGAGTAGGTGTGGATGTAGGTCTGTATGTGGGTGGG